TTCTATTTTTTCTTTCGGCAACACCATTTTGTTGTGGTGTGTATGAAGCCTTTGTTTGATTTATAATTCCATGTTGTGCACAAAAATATGAGAAGGCAGTAGACTCATACTCTCCTCCTTTGTCGGATCTAAGTGCTTTGATTTTTCTCTCAAGTTGATTTTCAACTTTAGCTTTATATGTCTTAAACATATTCAAAGCTTCGTAATCAAATAAACATAGCAATACTTACTACAATAATCAATAAAAATGACATAATAATTCTTTCCTCCACGAGTTGGTGTGGATTTAAAGTCACAAAGATCACTATGAATTAATCCAAGTAATTCATTTGATATTTCCAGAATTGACTTTCTAGTTTGCCTAGCAAATTTGGATTCAATACATGTCTCACACTTAAGATTAAAATCAATTTCGAATTTAGGTAATAATTCTAACTTAACAATTCTTTGCATGGAAAGCAAAATTAACATTGCCTAATCTAGCATGCCAAATATTAGAAGACTTAACAATATAAGTAGAATCATTTATTTTATTAGCATCATCAATGGCAATTACATTGAGTTTCACAAGGCCATCAGCCACATATCCCTTTCCTACAAACATCCCACCCTTGGTAAGTACAAATTTGTTGGATTCAAGTACAAGTTTAAAGCCCTTAGCTATCAAAATAGGTCCAGAAACCAAGTTCCTCCTTATTTCAGGAACATGCAGCACATTCAGCAAGGCTAAACTCTTCCTAGATGTGAATTTGAGTACCACTTTGCATTTGCCCTCCACCGTAGATAAAGCAGATTTGCCCATATACATCTTTTCTCCAGGGGCAACAGTACGATATTCAATGAATAGATTTCTGTCAATGCAGATGTGCTTCGTAGCACTAGTATCTATTAACCATTCACTCACATTCGAGACCATGTTGACCTCGGACATAACAGCAGCCAACTCTTCATCAGTGATTGCCATATTAGCATGGTTGTTGTTGTTTCCGTTGACATGATTTCCATCCTTGCGATGATAACAATCTTGTGCCTTATGACTAGATTTGTCACACACATAGATGGCACCCTTAATCTTCTTCAGATTCTTGCCTTTATTAGCAAGAGCAGATTGTACAAACTGCTTGGTTTTCAGAGCCTTATTCTTTTCCGGCTTGGCCTTGAAGTGTCCTCTCTCAACATAATTGACGTTGGCTTCAATGGCAGCAAGCTTACCAGAACGATCTGCCTTTCTGTGTTTTTTTTTTTCACTCGTAGCCTCAGAATCAAATCCTCCATATTCATCTCACGACGCTTTTGCTTGAGATAAATCTTGAAGTCATTCAAGGAAGTTGGTAATTTCTTGATTATCACCACAACTTGGAAACCTCATTGGTCTCGCATCCCTCGGAGTGCAGTTCATAGATCAATTTCTGGATTTCTTCAACCTGAGAGACAACGTATTTCGAATCCACCATAGTATATTTGAGAAATATACCGATAGCAAATTTCTCCGAACCGGCATCATCAATCTTATACTTTTTCTCCAGGAATTCCCACAACTCCTTTGCAATCTTGCACAGAGAATGAATGTCATAGAGATTGTCATCCAAACTATTCAGATCTACAACAAAACTCAGAATGATTCCAAGCTTCAATTGTTATAACAGTCTCTTTTGTCATTGGATTCTCATTAGACTTCGGAGCTTCTTCCTTGACAACATGAGTGAGATTCATGGTTGTCAGGAAAAACATCTTCTATTGCCATCTCTTGAAATCCAGCCCTTTGAATTTCTTAGGCTTTTCAAAGTATTTCAGTACAGTGCCATTCACATTCACAGATTGTTGATCCATACTTTCTGTTTCAAGATTGTTGGATAAATATCAACAATCAATGATAAATTTATTTATGCTAATAAATAATAAATGCGAATAATTCAACAGAGTATGAACAAAACAAAATAATATTAAACAGATAAATTGAAGATGTGTACCGCAATGTCCTTGAAACAAAAATTTCACCCCTACTCAGTACTTGTAGTTCTACGAATGTCAGCTTCACCAGGATTCCACGATCTAAGTCAAAATTCCAGCACTGGAAAACTTGACTTTTGGCGAATTTCTTTGTGGTTCTCTTAGTAAGATTGCTTGGGATTGTGGAAGAAAAATTTTATTTTTCTGTATTCTAAATGCCATGCAGATGGATGTATATATAATAGGTTTATGCATGTTCACAACAAGTATGAGAATGAGATGCGTCTATTGAGAGACCTTTTCTCAGAGAGGTGCTTTGCTCTCTGGCGTTCTTTTATCACTTTAGACTTCATATGAAAAGATGAGTCTATTGATATAAAAAATAATTAATTAATTAAAACCAAAATTAATTAAAAATTATTAATTAAAGAATTTATATTAGTACACCCAATCACTTTTCATAAGGGACAAAGCCTTATAAAGTGAGGGAATCTTTTGGTAGTGACCAATGTGGGACAATGAAATTTGTACTCAAAATTTCCAACAACACACACTGTTGCTTCACAAAAGCCCAAAAGAATGCTCCAATGTCAAAGGTAAATGCATAACCAGAGGTGGATTTCATATCATCTTCATCTCCACTCCAGTCACTATCACATAATCAAATGAGAAGGGCAGAATCAACCTTCTTATATCTGATTCCATAATCAATAGTTCCTTGAATGTACCTCAGTACCTTCTTGATAGTGCCCAGATGTTTGGTTGAAGGACAATGCAGGAATCTTCCAAGGAGACTTGTAAAGACCATGATGTCAGGTCTTGTTGCAGTCAAGTACAAAAGACTGCCAACAATTGTCCTGTATTATTCCTCATCAGTTGCTTCACTACCATCATCCAATATTAGTTTATCTATAGCCGCTAGAGGTATAGACAAGGGTTTGCACTTTTTCAAACCAAAATTTTCAAGTATAGTTTGTGCATACTTATCCTGATGTACGAAAATGCTTGCTTCTTGTTGAATTACCCTAATTCTAAGAAAGTGTTGCAATGACCAAGATCAGTCATCTCATCTCATCATTTCATATTTAAACTCTTCACTCATTTAAGTGCACATAATAGGTGTAAGGCAAGATTACATTGCCTTAGAACTTTGTGAGCACTTGCCCCAGTTAGAGTGTTGATGGACTTGGATTGAGTTGCATGAAAACCTGATTGTAGACTTCAAATGAAAGATCTACGAGTTGACTTTGTGATGAATGAGGATGATGATGAATAATGAATGAAGAACACTGAAGAAAGATTTTTACTTCTATTTTTTTTCACTTAGATATCTAAGCATGCGTTGATCTAACTCAGTTTCTCTCAATGAAAGCATCAATTTGTGAATCCAAATTCCGTATGTGGTTGAATTGACGAAATTTCACCTACAAAATATGAAACATTGTTAGCCTAACTCCCTTTTTTCCTGTTTTACTTCGCCTCTGATACCTAAATCTGTGTCTTTAGTCTTGACAAATTTGTATCTATGAAACAAATTAAACACATTTGGTTAAGGCCAAGAACCATACGCCATGAAAGGGGGAAGAGGTTTGGCCAATGAACATCTTGATGCCTAAGTTAGTAACTCTGAAAAGATTGTGAAATTGAGGGTTGAGTTGTACAGAGAAACTTCAACTTACTTGAGAAGTGTAGAATCAGGGTATTTATAGGAGCTAGGTCGACAACATGTGTAGGGTTTTTCATGCCATGTGTCGACGTCCGGTTGATCAAAGTGTGTCATCCAATAGATGGAGTTGTACTTATGCAATGACACTACAGCAGATAATCCTTGAAGATATTATTAAAGAATTAACAATTATAAGAATTATCTTAGAGAATCCTTGATAGAATGTAGTTGGGCTTCCTTGTGTAAAGGAACCTGTCTTAAGTTAGGAAAGTTTAAAGATTGGTATTAGTTATTAATTCCACTTTTAACTCCCTTGGTTGATCTCCTTGCCATGAGTAGAGGAGTTTGGAGAAGTTGTAGTTAGCAGCTTAGGTCGTTTTGATGGTTGAACTGTGAGTGGAACAAATGTGGGACTCGCCAATTTAATGATGGCATTCTCTTCTCTTGCAAGTAAAAGTCCGCAAGTTAGCTCTAGAATGTTCTAATTATTTTTGGCTTCTGAATACACATTCATAAGTAATTATGGAAACATGCCCTAATTCAAGTTACAAAAATATTTGAACGTATACATACATACATGTCTCTTTCATTACACTTCATAATACAATACCTAAAAAAATTATTAATAATTTGATTTTGTGGGGATAGTTGAAAACGTCATATTCATTCTCTTTCCTCTGTTTTGCATAAGTTATGATTTTTCATATTCCAAGAAAACATGTAGGGTTTGTTTTCTTTTGCCAATAGTGCATTTCATTAAGACGACAAATGATAAGAGAAAACATGTAGAGTTTGTTTTCTTTTGTTTATTGTGTTTGTTTTGTTTTTGTGACATATTTGATATTTTAACGGGTCGTGCCATATAACATCCGTTAAAATGAACATGTAATATGCCCCGACCTGAACTCAACCCATTAATATTAACGAATAATATGACTTGACACGTTACTCGTTAAAAAAAATATTTTAAATCAATAAATAATCAAATAAAAAATGTGATACTAAATTCATATCTACATACATATTGTCACATAAATATTACTTTAAGACATAAAAATACATTTGTGTTTCAAGTATTTCATACCACAAAATAAGAGCCTAATGGGAAACATTAGTAAATTACTACAAAATATCAAATGTTCAAAGATTGCATAATGAAGGGAGTTTTTGTTTTAAGGTTGTGAAGTCTTTCTCAAAAGTCAGAATTTTGCCAATGAGACTCAAAGCGTTCATGTGACACCCCGTCTCGAAACTATCGAACGCATAGGTGAAATGACCATTTTACCCCTAGTTGTTTTTATTATGTCTTTGGTTGTTTTGTGTGGTGTTGGCCAAAGTTGGACCACACACACACATCCTATCTCTATCCCTCACCCTCTGTCACTTCCTCTCTCTCTCCCGTGTTTCTCTCTCTCCCTTCCTATCACCATAAACGTACGGACAAACACCAAACTCACCCAAATCAGCACAGATCGAGGGAACCAACTGCACCATTGAACTCGTGAGGCCGAGGGGAGTCCAGTGGTACCATTTTCAGGTAGGAACTCTGACGTTTTCACGTCGATTTCACGAGCTCAGTTTTGGTTACTATTCATGCAAGTTTAATCTAGCTGGTTTTTGGACTTTTTAGGCTCGTAGATGTCTTTGTGAGGTTCCCAGGAGCTTGGGAGTAGCTCGTTGGGCTAATTTGGACGTCGGGATCGTCCTGTACGATGTTGGTCGGTTTTTGATTTCGTGGACAGGTATGATTGCATAGTTTTTAGCCCTTAAAACTAGTCTATCGTGATTCTCCTAGGTCTAAGCGTCATTTTGGTGCAAGAAACGTGAAAAAAGGTGGAAAAACGAGCAAGATATGGCGAGTTGCAGGTTTTCTGGCGACGGCGACGACGCCGGCGAGGGGGTAGGCCGGAGAAGAAAGGGGAATATTCCGTTGAGTTTAACGGAATATTCCTAACGGACGTTGACGGCGTCAGTCAGGGTTAACGAAATATCCCGTCAGTTCAATGGAATATTCCTGACGGCGTCACTTGACGCCGTCAGTGTGCATGGCACGTGGCCGCGCGTGGGGGCGCGTGGGTCCGTGTCTGTGCTGGCGCGTGGGGGCACGTGGGAAGTCCAAAAATTATTTTAAAAATATGGGTGTGATCGTGAGGTTGTGTAGATCACGTTGGTATATTCATTTGTCCATTTTGAGCAATGTATGAGAAGTTATTTTGAACGGACGGTTATGTGCTCTAAAGTTAACGTTTTTATAGTTAATTCGCATATAGGTGACACGTATCCCGAGGACGAGCGTGCACATTCGAGGCAGGGGGGCTATGACCCTTCCACATATCAGTGAGTGGGCTTTTGTTTTCCGTATATACCTATATACATGTTATTTCCCAGAAATTAGTATAAATGCTTCGTTTTACGCCATTATTTTTATATGATTGATGGTTATGCATGATTAGTGGCATATACGTTTAATTATACATTCGATTATGCATATGTCACATATATAATTGTTGGTGCTGTGGAGGCATAGGTAAGTGCTAGGTAAGCGTTGTTTGGCATTCGCATTAAATAGTGATTCGAGGTGCTTAGAGAGCTCATAACCTGTACCCCGGTGTTAGTGCTCCCGCCCAGAGTACGGCACAGTCCTTCACGTGTCGTTCACCTCCCGCACCACACACTCAGCTTGAATCCAAGTTAGGTGCACAATCCTGTCGTACAGACCACTATAGGTGGTTCCGACTCGTAGGTGACCCGCGATTATTCGCACAGCCTTCACGTGATCGTAGCACTAGAGCGTTTATATGTTTTACACCCAGGCCTGTCGTACAGACCACTTTAGGTGGTTCCGACTCGTGGGCAGGTTTAGTTATGGAAATTGAGATTTAAGCTCTAGATTCAGCTGTACAGGTCACTTAGAGGACTCCGGCTGTCAGATGTTATGGTATTGATGTGATTTATACTTGAGCACCTGCATTTCATGATGAGGTTTGACATGGCATATTAGCGAGCATGATTGGCATGTTTATACATACGTATATATGTTCATTTACTGAGAAGTATACCGGTTTTACGGCGAGGGGTTAGAATGCATTTTATGAAATGATTTTTAAAGATTTGGTTTTTGCCCACTCACGCTTTTGTTTTGCGCCCCTCCAGGTTCTAGTAGCTTAGCGGGTTTGGTGGTTTTCCCGGAGGACGTCCCGGCATTCTGACAGACACTCACCTACGTAGGGTCACCTTCGGGTGCACTTTTGTTGTATTGTTTCTTTTGGACTGCTGTAGGCTTAAAGCTCTGAATTAAGCGTCTTACTTTTGCTAGCACATACTTATCACATTATATTTGCTAGTTTTAAATTATTTGTACTTTTATATTACTGTTTTTAGCTTCTGCACTGTGCACATGGCTACGTCACTTCCACGTGACGGCCAGCATGCCCTGATCTTGGTTGGGGTGTGTCAGTTCATGTTGTTTAAGTATTATGAATTATTATTAATTTTGCACTCAAACAAAAAAATACTATTTGTGATGGTTTAGAGTGTTTTAAAAATCTAAATGACAATGTAACCATTGCCTAAGCGTAGATGATGCAATTACAAGCGTTATTTGTAATTAATTATTAGAAAAATTTATTTATTTTGAACTCCCCTAAAAACACTATTCATGAGGGTTTGTAGGGTTTTAAAAATTCAAATGACAATGTACCCATTGTCAAAGCTCAGAGGAAGTGATCATGAGTGTTTGCATTTTTTTTTTTTTCAAATTTTTTGCACTTGTAAATTAAATAACAAGAAATTTTTAATGCTCTTTGATATTTTTAAATTGCTTTGGTATTTTTAACGTGCATTGGAATTTCTAATCTCATTTATCTGAGATTAAATACTATGTCACTAATGTGCTTTGGAATTTTTTTTTATAGTAGTTTAAATTATCAAACTAATTTTTTTTCTTAACAGGTTTAAATGGGTTACATGTGGGTAAACTTGTTAAGAACCCGTTCATTTGATTAGTTAACGTGTTTGACCCAAAATCCACTTTTTCGAGTCGTTTTGGATCGAATTAACAGGTTGTGTAAAAAGTTACCAGGTCTAAATTTAGTCAAGTTTATTGTATATTCATTTTTTTTTCTTTATTCTAATTGTGCTCTATTTTTCTGTATGTGAATTTGAATCTCTTTTAGATAATTTAGACTAGCATATGGTCACACACAAAGTGTGTCAGAAATTTTTTTATTTTTTACTTTTGAAATAGAACGAGAGAGGAAGAGAGTGATACAGAATGTGGGAGTAAGAATTTTTTTTTTTTTTTTTTTATTTAATTAGAGATATGTTAGGATTTCATGTAGGTGAGGCCTTGGAAAAAAAAAAACAGTAAAATTTGGTTGTGTGAAATTACATTTTTGCCTCATATTTTTTATTCATGTTCTGTTTTAATTAAATGGTTAAACTGGTAATTTCATACGATTTTGGTTAATAATGAGTGTTTTATTAAGGGGAGATGATATACCTACCCATCAACATTATTTCTCCACCCACTTTTTAATGATACTTTAAATGACAACTCTAACCTTTTGCAAAATGAATTATAAGACCATCTTTAACTATTTTATTATTTTGTTTTTGTATTAAATTATGAAAATAGAAGGAACAAAAACATGAGCCCAACAAGTTGAAACCACCACACACAACACCAACCAAGTTGAATCCACCATTTTCCTCATCTCTTATGTCAATTCCTTCCCATCCATTCGAAATCTTCATCAAACACCATAGACCCATTACAATTACCTTAAGAAACCTTGATAATTGGATTCTCTCATACCCATTTGACGTGGTTTTGATACCCCTATTTTACAATTAGTCCTCTACTTGAGTTGTAATTGCATAGAGCAACTACGAGGTCAACCGAGGATATTGCTCATCCTCATAGTCTTGATTAAATTAGAGACAGTTGGTTGATGGTGAGAAGGGGGTTGCTTGCCGTCGAGTGTGTGGATGTGTGGCGGTGACTAATTTTCTTTGTAAGGATAGTTTAGAAATATCAGTGGGTGGGAAAAAAGTGTTTTTCATTTTTACCTTTTAAGTGAGGTGGGAAAATAAGGTGGGGTGGGGAAATAGGATTGTGGGATGGGTCTAGTAGCTCTCTTTATTAATTAGTAGAGATAAGTTCTATGTAAAACATCTAACGGAAAATAAAATGATACAGTTGACTCCCACTTTTTAAGTCAGTTTGGGAAAAGAAAGAAAGCAGAACAGGTGGTGGTTTTCATGAACTGCATAGCCAGGTAGGTCTGAGTTGCTAGCATTCTCTTGGAGATTCCACATTACAAGGGGCGCTCAAAACCCTCATGACAAACGGATCCTTTACCCAATCGAGAAGGTTTCATTAGCTTGAAGCCGGTTTTGAAGGGACAAGGATCTTCTTTGTGGGAATTCAAAGATCAATCAATCGTGTTCGTTTATCGTATATCGTGGATCAGTTTTCGTTAGATACTATTTATATTCAATTTTAAATTAAAATTTTAAAATAATTTCTAATCGCACGATATACGATAAATAGACATGATTAATTGATCTTCCAGATCCCTACATATGGGATCGGATCCTACTCCGTTTTGAAGGGGCGGAGCGTCCAATGATGTCCCCAATATTCAAGTTCATTTAAGGAAATTTAAATAGCTCCAAACAAATATTCGTTACAAATCCATGGGTCGTCTCGGATGCGATGCCGACAAGGGGTGCGTCGGCCAAGGAATGTGGCCCACGTCGTTACCACTGTAGCTTGCTGTTATGGTGACGGCTGAAGACGGCGCCACTGGGAAAAAAAGGTGTATTCTACGTTTATACGTGCCCTCCTCTGGTGCAATACACTTATACACACAGACACAGAGAGGGAGAGAGAGAGAGTGACGGAAAGACAGAGAGAGAGAGAGGGGGAGAGATGGGGTGGGCGTGGGGGTGGGGGATGAGGGAGTGGGAGTGGGTGTGGGTGTGGAGATGGTGGGGACCGGCTGGTGGTGTGGTGCAATGGTGCTGGTGGCTCACACATTGGGACATCGGGGGGTTGTGGGTCCCACCCGAAAACATGTGGGCCCCGGAATTTGGAGTTTTTTTTGGAGGCATTGGCTCTGGTTTGGAAGCATCCTGTTACTGCCAGTATAAATGGACCATTCGGGGTTATGCCTCTCTCACATCCATACATACACTTACACAGAAGACGTCTACACACACACTCTCTCTCTCCCCCCCTCCCGCCCCCCCTCCCCCCCTGAAGAACTTTCTGGTTTATATAAGCAGAGACTAAGTTCTACTGCAACACCGCCCAAATCTTTATATTCTCACTCCTCAAATCCTGTTTTTTAAGCAGAGACTAAGTTCTACTGCAACACCGCCCAAATCTTTATATTCTCACTCCTCAAATCCTGTTTTCTAAGGTATTGCTTCTATAATACCTTAATTTTCTCGAATGGGTTCGTTTTAATTTTTGGATTTGGTAAATATTTCAGACATCAAATACCACCTGCCCACTTGAAACTGACAAATATGTTTTTTGGGTTATTTGAGTAGATATGACGAAGCAGAATGTGGTAGTTTCCGAAGCCGATGCCGAAATCATGAATATGGCGATATCGGTGGCCGTCGCCAACTCTTCCCTTTTCACGGCGGTGGCGGAAAAGCCTCCGGTGGGACCTCCAGGGTACATCTCCATTTCGAGAAAGAGGTTCATGAACTTGAAGAACCTAGACAGTTTCAATGGAGCTGAAAGAATGAACTCTTGGGTGGACTCAATGAGAGCTTCTTCTCCCACTCATATAAAGTCCTCATCTTTTCTGAAAGAATACTGGATTGTGAGTACCATTTGCAAAATCTGTATTCTTAACCAGTTTAACAACAGATTAATGTAAAACATTGGGTTCTAATTTTGTAATACTGATAAAATACAAAACAGCTTCATCACCCATCAGCCTTGGACATGTTTGAGCAGATTATCGATGCTTCGAAAGGGAAGCAAATAGTTATGTTTTTGGACTATGACGGCACACTGTCACCCATAGTTGAAGACCCAGATCGAGCTTTCATGTCTGATGCAGTAAGTAAATACATACATACATACATATATATATATATATATATCATCTTTCAATCTTGTCCTTCTTTTCTTTCTTGCTTTCTATCCGGTCCATATTTCTTAACTTTTCTGTAACAACACAGATGAGAAAGACAGTGAAGAAAGTTGCTCGATGTTTTCCCACTGCCATAGTGAGTGGAAGATGCAGAGAAAAGGTACTACATTTATTTTCAAGCTCCTTTTAGTCACTGCATACATATCTTTTCAT